AGGGGGGACACGTCTTTGAGTGTCCCCCCCCTCCCCGGCCGCGTCGTACGGATGTAACGTGCCTTTTATTTATGCTGCAAAATACAAATATCACATTAAATATTACCCAGGAGCCGGCGGCTGCGACCCCTCATTGCCCCCCCCTTGGGGACACCCCCGGGGTCACCCTGTCCTGGGGACACCCAGGGGGGACACACACACCGGGGGGGTGTCACTGGGTGGGGGGGACAGGGCTCCAGGGGGGACACAAAGCTCAGGTGTCATCCTTGGGGGGCATCGTCTGGGTGTCGGAGCTGGTTGGGGACACCACGGGGGTGTCACCCACCTGGGGACACCATCTGACCATCAGAGCTGGTTGGGGACACCATGGGGATGTCACCCACTGGGGTGACACCATGTGGCCCATCAGAGATGTCTGGGGACACCACGGGGATGTCACCCTCCTGGAGACACTGTGGGGCTGTCACTCACTGGGGTGACACCGTCTGGCCATCAGACTTGGTTGGGGACACTGTGGGGATGTCACCCCCTGGGGAGACACCATGTGACCATCAGACCCGGTTGGGGACACCACGGGGATGTCACCCACCCGGGTGACACTGTCCAGCCATCAGAGCTGGGTGGGGACACCACGGGGATGTCACCCACCGGGCACACTGTGGGGCTGTCACTCACTGGGGTGACACCATTTGACCATCAGAGATGTTTGGGGACACCACAGGGATGTCACCCTCCTGGGGACACTGTGGGGTGGCAGGAGGATGACACTGTAGCTGTCACCCTCCTGGGTGACACCATCTGGGCATCAGACCTGGTTGGGGACACTGTGGGGATGTCACCCTCCTGGAGACACTGTGGAGCTGTCACCCACTGGAATGACACCGTGTGACCATCAGACCTGGTTGGGGACACCATGGGGAATGTCACCCACCCGGGTGACACTGTCCAGCCATCAGAGCTGGGTAGGGACACCGCGGGGATGTCACCCTCCTGGGGACACCCGGTTGACACCATCCGGCCATCGGACCTGCCTGGGGACACTGTGGAGCTGTCACCCTCCCTGACACTGTGCAGCCACCAGATGTGCCGGGGGACACTGTGGGGCTGTCACCCACTGGGGGTGACACCGCGTGGCCATTGGACCTGCCTGGGCGGGTACCGTGGGGCTGTCACCCACCCAGGCAACACCATCCACCCGTCAGACCCACACGGGGACACTGGGGGGGTGTCACCCGCCGGGGTGACACCGTGAGGCCATCAGACTTACCTGGGGACACTTTGGGGGTGTCACCCACGGGGGTGACCCCATCCAGCCGTCCGAGCTGCCGGGGGAAACCACGGGGCTGTCACCCACGGGGGTGACACTGCAGGTGACCCTGCTTGGGGAGGGGGGGACGGACACACTAACGGGGCCTGGGACCTCCCCTGTCCTGAGCGTTTGGGGCGATTTCAGCTGGATTTGGGTCTGAGGGAGCGGGTGAAAAGCCGGGGGGGGAGGAAGTCCCGGGGAGCGGCGGAGCCGGAACCGCCCCGTCGGGGCTGCAGGAGCGCGGCGCGGCCACTGGGTGGCGACAAAGAGCCGCGGCGGAGCGGCCGCTGGGGGGACGG